AACTGATAGTTAAACTAAACCAGCCACAAAATCCCAAACTCCTAATCCTGGACAAAATTGCACATCCTTCTCTCCTTGTGCATGTTCATGAGATTAATGTTGAAAAAAGTGAGCGTAAAAAGATTTACAGCGGAGGGTCACTCTGCAAGCTCTGCTGGTCCGGACCTTAGGTGGTGGGTCTACAAGGTCAACAGCCTGTGAAGCTCATTTCCACTGCAAATCTGCTGGAAGAGGTGCGACGGAGGGTTATGGAGGAAGAGATGGAAATTAAATAAAAAGAGGAGGAGTGAAAGGATGACTTAAGAGTGTCAAAAGTTCAAAGAGTCAGTGGTATGGAACAGGAAGATCAACGTGTGCTTGACCAAATGCCAATCACAGGGCCTAATGAAAGCAATACAAAGAAAAGAATCTGAATTAATAGAACGATAACAGGGATTCATAAAAGAAAAAAAAAAAAGATTTGAGCAATTCTGGTTTCTTAACCGTTTCATTATCAATTATTTTAGGTTTTTTTTATACTGTATATATATATATATATATTTGGAAGAAAAGATGAGATAGCCATGGAAGATAAGATATATATATATATTTCCTCCAGGAAATATATATATATATATATATATATATATATATACACACACACACACACACACACACACACACACACACACACATTTTTTATTGCGAGTAATTCTCAGAATTGTGAGATAATTATAATAAAAATAATGAATTTAAAATAATTCTGGAAAAAGGTCTGCTGACAGACTTTTAAATGACTTTTCAGTTGTTTTAGATGCAGCATAAATATAATCTAATAATCAAGCAAACAATAATATGCATAACTTATTTCATTTATTAATATTTATAAAATACTACTGACAAAAACACATAATGTACATCTTTAAATCCCAGTTTGTAGGCACAGTAAGCTTCTAAATTAACCCCATTCAGACCCTGTGACCATTGCAATGGTTTTTGGTTTAAACCAATAAGATATTATGTTTCTGCCTGGTCACTGATTAGTCCCTGAACCAATCACAACGTAAGACATGCATGACTAACCAACTAGACAGAAGGAGAAGGAGCTCCTTTTTACCTTTTGCGTTAATGGTAGCATCATCAGTTTGCTCCTATTATAATCATAGTGATAATATTAAAAGTTACTTTGAAGATCTTTAAGTGCTGTAGAAAACAAAATATTTTTCAAGTTAAATGTCCGTCGCAATGTTATGATAATGTTTGTTTTTTAGACTCATTTATACATTAGGGAAGAGCAAAGTACGGTGAAAGAGAACCATGGATGGTATTTTTTTTAAGTACGTTTTTTACAATTCTGTAACATTGTAACTAAATAAAATAAAGCAATCCACCTATTTTCCAAAAAAAAAAAAAACACAAAAAAAACATGTCCAAGATTGACGATATAAATGTAAATATAACTCTTCAACTATTTTCACTTACGAATCCAATAGCCTAGCTATTTGGCAATCCACTGCTAAAATTTACATTTGAATGCCACTCTTCTTGGGTTAAAGTACTTAAAGCTTTTTATAATGTGGTTTTACAGCTGCAGCTAAATGTCTGCCATGACAACAGTTCCTGAATCACTAGTTATTAGATAAAGAGTCTAGTCTAAAGCACAGCTCCGGGATCTGGCTAAACAGGACCCTTAATTTGTTCAGTGTGCTGGGATTGCAAAGAGGATATGGGCCTATCAAATGTCCACTCCACATCACCCCCTTTAGGATCTTTCATTCACCTCTCCATCGGGTCTCATTCAGCAGAGTCAAGGCAGAGGGCAGCCAGAATCAGGCTAAGAGGGTGGATTAGGGTAGCTCACAGCGGATGAAGACGGTCTTAGGTTTTATGTTGTAAGAGTGGTAATTAAACCATACTTTATCTGCGCTCTTGGAAAGTACAAATGTACTGATAGTCTTAGATCATGGGGCCCTGATAGTATAATGGTTTAAGATCAAGACTACAAACAAAAAGGTTTGATTCTGGGTGGGACAAATGGCTGGGTGACCCATGAAAGAACATTCTCCAGGAAAAAAAAAAAAAAAAGTATATGCGGACCCATGAATTGTAAAATAGCCCCGCATTCACTCGACAGTCCAGCTCGTTCTCATCCTTTAACGTCATATAGAACGCTATATGCAAAAACGGCGCTATACTACGCACATGGCACCCTTTATCGTTAATATTTGACGTTATAAATCCTTTAGCGTGAATATGACACGCACACCCTACCCCACACCTAAACTTAGCCCTCACAGCACGTGTTATATTAACGATAACGGGTGCCATGTGCGTAGTATAGCGCCGTTTTGTCATATAGCGGTCTACATGACGTTAAAGGATGAGAATGCGTTGGACAGTCACACCAACTCCTGATCCTCTCGGTCAACTTTACGTTAGTAAAAGCGGCACAATGGTATTGCTCTTTACGTCAGACACATAACGACAATTAACATGATTAACTTTTGCTTACATTACCAAACAGCTAATAATGTGTTGTTTATGTTACACAAACCATGTCCCTGTTTGCCATCGCTGTTTGCCTTCTAAAAATCAGCATCATTGCTTTGAACAACTTCAGCGGAGAATAGCATATTCGTTACAGTCCGTTTTCATCCCAAGGCGTCATATACTGACTCTTTTGACAATGAGTACACATCCAACGCATATGGCACCCTTTAGCGTCATGAGACACAGATATGGGCCAGAAGGCGCCTCCTAGTAGTCTAAGCCTACCCCAGACCTAAACCAAAGCGTGTCATATGGACGCTAAAGGGTGGCATGTGCGTTGGATGAATACGCATTGTCAAATGTGACGCGTTGGGATGAGAATGCGTTCAACATCGTAATATCAAATACATAATTCACCTGTGCTTTATAGGGGATTATCACACTTCCAGGTTTCATGGGCGGGATTTGTCAACTTTGTGCATGTCCACTTCCAACGCAGTTCAACAATGCCTGAGACGAATGTTATTTATGTCACTGCTCTGTTCCACTTTGTAAATCTAACCAACAACACCAACCCTACTTACGTTTTCATGGATTCCCGACTGAATTGAGTATAAGGAAGAAGTGGATTAAAACTTTAAAATAAAACAAGGTAGCACGTTTGTTTGCAGCAGGCACTTTAGTGAATCAGACTAATTACCAGGGATGCCATATAAATAAACTTAGTGTAGTCCTTCATCAGTTTGCAAGCGAGATCGGTGATTCAACGGAAGTGGCAGTGCACAAAGATCACAGAATCCGGAAGTACTAAGTAGCGTGAATCCCCTATTGAGAAACATACCCAGGCTCCGAGCTCCGTAGCTTGCCATGCTCCATAATGTTTGAAACAAACAACAGCAGCATGCTGCTTGACATTATCAAATAGTCTCTGACATTATGCACTACACAAATAGTCTCTGACTCATAGACTGTAAAAAAAAGCTCTGATGCCCACGTTTGTCGCCATGGTTACTATGGTAATACAAGCGGAATCCAGTGAAAACGTGGATACTACGTCATTGATAGGCGACAAGTGAACAGGGTGAACAAGTGAACACTTTAAAAAAATGTGAATATCTCTGAATTTACAATTTTTTGGAAACATTTAGGATTATGCAATTACACAAAAATATATAGGCCTAACACTGTGCAGGTGGTTTTTGGATATTTTAATTTTAACTTACCTTATGTGGCAAAAAATTATGAAAGTCAAAAGTGACAGTGAAAATATGTATGTTACAAAAATATTTCTTTTCTTTTTTGTTTTTTTATATATACAAAAATAATTGATAATAACTAGAAGGATCATGTGACACTTAAGACTTGAGCACTGATGCTAAAAATTCAGCTTTACCATCACAGGAATGAATTGCATTTTTACATTTTCTCTCAAAAACATTAAAATATCTTGCAGACCACAAAGTAAAATACTGTATATCAGGCCTGTTTTCTACTATATAAAAAACAAAAACAAAAAAAACTGAGGCTTCATACTTAATTATACCACAAGAATTTTCAGATCCAGGCTCATGGGGGGAAAAAAAAAACGTGACCACGATAATTTTATTCTCTGTCAACCACTAACAGATATCATCTTTGCTACACAACAGGAGTGTCAGCTATCTTTATCATTGTGGGCCAAAAATCTTAAAATAGAGCTGGATGTGTGCTGACTCAGCACATTCCCAATGATAAGATGATAGATGTAAAACTGAAAGCCACGGATGGCAGCTAACTGCAAATCTGGCATGTCTGTGGTTTTCTGAAACATTCCTTGACGAGTGAATAGATTATGGGGTTTCTTTTAAATTTCAAAAACCCTTAAACTGATTTGGAAAGCCAGTCAGTGGCCATATTCTATTGTTTCTCTAGAGAAAATGCCTGAAATTGTAATATTACAATCAGAGATGATTCAATATGACAGTTCTGTTTGGAAAAGAAACCCCTGTTGTCCGCCTTTGCGGTCTGTTAAATAAGCCTGCCAGCGAGTTTGCCAGGAAGATCAAGAACATTGTCAGACTTGTGTTTGTCATACCAATTGCTATCTATGATGCCAATTCTTTAGTGGTTAGTAAGAAATATATTCATATTACTTGTTCCATTCTCATTTCTTTAGATTTAATCTGAAAATGGCAGATAGGACTTTAAAATCTTCCAACAGACAGTGGCTAGTAAAGGGCAAGTGTTAAGGCTCCATCTGCTGTCCATTAATAGACATTTCTACACAACGGATTGTGAAATCAATATTTACATTTTCTGAAGACATAGCGAGTGGCTGCCTATGTAAAATTTGTCACTACGATGCTAGGGCATTCTAGGTGATCACTATCAAAGATCACACTATCAAGTCAATACATGTTCAAGTCTGAATCCTTTAAAAAGTAGAACAAACTGTGTGTTATGTGCAAAAGTTAAATATTTTCAGAATTATCAGAGGTGGTTTTTTTTTATTCGAACAACTTCGCAAATGTCATGAATGTCACCTCATGAAATTACTTTCCATCTTTTAATAAAAAATTTAAATATATAAACCATTTTTACATATACTTTACATATACTGTTTCCACTGAACATTGCTAACTTCAGTACTTTAGTAGTACACAATCAAGTACAAGAAAGAATGTTTAAAAATGATAGCAGCAGTTGTAAAAAGGGGCATACCTTGCCAATCATTTACAATTAGAGAAACACAGTAAACCAGAAAGCAAAACCACGCCATTTGCTTTCTCTGCCAACACAGTGTGAACAGTGCTTGCATTACCCATAGTTCTCAACCACTTGAATGCTGGACTTGAGTCACACTTTTCCCATCAGCCTTCCCTTAGCCCATCCAGTAACGACAAGCCTGGGTGTCAATCATCGCCAGCTCATCATCATGCACCCACTCCTCTCCCGGTGGGGGACGCGAGGCTCGAGGTGACTCATTCTGTGGAGGTTTAGGAGTCACAGATCTCCTTGGAGGATTAAAGGTGTTGCTAACGCAGGGAGAAGCTCTAGTTTTCAGGGGGGTGATTGGTGGAGGGGACGGGATACGTGATAAGTAGTCCAAACCTTGTCTTCTTTTCAAGTATATGGGGTCTTTTCCCTCACTGTTACTTGCAGACACAGGTGTTCTTCTATTCAACGGGGTGAAAGGCGAGAAACCGCTGCTTTTCTGCTGTGGGGTTACCTGGGAATTTCAACACAGGGCATAATAGATTTTTTGCATCTAATGAGTGCATTTATAAATATTGGCCAATAAAAAAAATTAAGTCTATTATGCTCATCAAGGCAGCATTTATTTGATCAAAATACATATAAAACAGCAATACTGTAAAGTGTTATTTACATTTAAAATAACCTTTCTATTTTAACTGAATTTAAAATGTAATTTATTCCCGTGATGGTAAAGCAGAATTGTTTATACTAGCATCATAAATGTTCACATGATCCTTCAGAATAATTCTAATATCCTGATTTGCTTCCCAAGAAATGTAATAGTATTATCAATGTTGAAAACATTTTGTTTTTGTGTAAACGACAACACATTTGATCAGGGTTCTTTAATCAATAGAAAGTAAAAATAATAATAATTGAAAAAAACCCCGAATAATATACTATTGCACTATTAAAACACTAATAATGTGAAATGATAATAATAATGACATGGTTAATGTAAATTATATTAATTTATTAATATTTTTTGATTAGTAATTGACAACAGTTACAACAACTACATTTTTTGGAGATGTAGGAGCTTTCACATCTACAGAACAAACGTTGTGGAACAAAGTAATAATTATAGTGTAGCTTGCCTTAACAAGCACCACTAATAAAACCAATACTTCTCCACATAAAAAGAAATGAATACTAACCCTGCCGTTCATTTTTGGATAAAACTGCACACTAGGGGTTCTTGGAGACTGAAAACAATCCAAGGCACCTGAAGGAACCACATCTGAGACTTTCTCCTCCGCAATGCTGAAAAACTCCTCACAAGTCTGTGTAAAAAGCCAACAAGTCTAATCAGCAACAATAAAAGACACACAAGGAATCACTCTTTGATTTTGCATGCACTTAAATACGAAAGTTTAAAGCAGATTCATTAACCTGTGCAAAAGTCTTCAGATGGGCCATAGCTTCTTGCAGATGGGATTCCTTGGGGTTTACGGAGAATAGTGCTTGTTCTCCAGCACAAAGGCTTGGCACAGGCCCAGAAAGAGGTCTCACCTGAAGATTACTAAGCGCAATCAGTGCTCGTGGCTTTACCAGCTCTTCAACAGCCAATTGCTCCAGACTACTGTAGGTTCTCACAGAGACCAGATCAAAGTTCTCATCCACAAGATGCAGTACCGGGCAATTTCCTGAGAAGACATTTAAACAGTCAAAATGTGTCAAGGATTGATGAAACGTAGTTTGAGAGCTTTTACACAAGACGACAGACGTTTTAAAGCAAATGCTTGCAACCAACCTTGTTTGCCCACAATGGAGACAATATATCCCACAATGTCCACCTCCCCACAAGGAGAGCTGAATTGAGAGTTTTGAAGTTCTCTGAAACGTACGCACTCTCGAGCAAGGAAATGCTGATGCAACCATTCCGGAGACACCTGCATCCAACAGATTTTTTTGTAAAACCATTTCAAATGTAATCATTAAAGAGAAAGTAATCAGCCTGTGGTGAGAACAAGTTGTTCAACTTAGTTTACCTCAATATCTTGAAAGAGAGTTTTCTTGGTGGCAGTGAGTTGTATGTGAGCAATGCCTGAGCGTTTCTTCCCCTCAGATGTGGCGAGGTGATACGCCCTGTATCTGTGGCCCTCTCTTAGCAAGCCATGCAAGTCCCGCGACGGCCGCCAGATATTCAGAGTGTAAACTAGGAAATGTATGGTACCATAACAGGTTAAATTGGCTACTACTACAACATCTAACCAAAGAGTGAAGATGATATCCATTTGGCTCACCACGGTCGTTCTGCAGGTCATTGGCGTCGGTAATGCTGAGCTTCCAAACAGGAGTGACATCTCGATTGGGACACCCACCCTCAGCCTCTTGGGCTTCCAATATAGCCTTCTGCACACGCTCCTGCAGCTCCGCTTGACTTCTTTCCTCTAGACAGCGTCTGTACTTACTCACAGCCTCCATCTGCCTCTCACTTACATGGGTCTACTCAAATAACATATTGAGCTTAATTATATTTTATTAAAAGGCTCCATGTTGGTACATGGTTTGACACAATGTCAATTTATTTGTTTACTTTCTAATGTCAAAACTAAAATTAACCAAACTTCACCTCAACAGCAGGATCCTGTTCCATTGCCTCATGCAACTCTTCCCCATCCTGCAGAGCTTCAATCTCATGTCGACTAAATGTTCTCCTTTGCTTTCGACATTTCTTATTACCTAGCACATGGATTAAAAAACACTCATCAAAAGTTCTTACACACAAACCTCCAGATAAAGTTTAATGTCTACAAATTTAAGTAAATATAATGAACCCATACACAGTAAAAAAAATATTGTTGGTTTAACTTAAAAAATTAAGTAACCTGGTTGCCTTAAAATTTTAAGTTGATTGAACTGGGAAAATTGAGTTAATACAATGAAGGAGATTGATTTAATCATCAAATGAAACTCAAAATAATAAGTTATCTGAAGTAAATAAATCATTTAAGTTGATTTGACAAAAGAAAAAAAATGTTGTGATAACAAATCTTGAAAATATTTTTTTGCAGTTTACCTTCCATTTCTTTTTCAAACTGGGTCTGTATTTTAGAAATAACGAGATCCATGGATTTGTGCTTTGAGTTGCTGTGTTTTCTGGCTTCTCGCTCTTCAGCACGATCGTTGCGAAATATAAAGACACCGTTGGGCTTCTTCTCCATCCACTGTTTGATGAGAGTCAGTCAATTGTTTGGTTCATAAGCAAAATCAACATTTACAGACGGTAATGTCTCATTCAGAGCTGTTGAGTTGGAGCAGACCTGAGTGGGGTAACTTCTCAACACCACAATGTTCACACAGCTCACAACACCGCCAGCAGGGTACAATGAGGATAGCTGGAGCCTGATAGGCCGAGGGTCACGATAATACCCCAACTTAGTGTCCCATCGAGCTCGTCTTGTGCTGTTGGCTGAAATCTGAAATTAAAAAATGACAAATCAAACAAAGTCTGACAGGATTTATATCACATGGATCATCGTTGTTGAACTCAAACTTTACCTTTAGCATCAGAGATTCAGGAGCTTCTAGTGGAGTACAGGCTTCTTGGGAGCCAACCAACTCTGCTCCACTAGTAACAATCTTATCACCGATTCGGAGACGGTTCTTGTTCAGCATGGCAGAGAGCGGAGGGTCCAAGATGCCTTTGATGGCGTACCAGCCGTCTGTGAGCCAGATCACACAGGACTCCATCTTTGCATTGGGAGTTTTTTCATCTTTCACTGGCTTCTCTGGATTTTGACAAGTTTTAGCAACACCACATACACAAAGCACTAATGTCTTTGCTGGAGTGTCGTCCCTCTCCATGATCCTCCTAAGAGCAGATCTATGACTGTGATCCACCTCCACATCATATCTAAGTGCAAATATTAAACGGTTACATTGGTTGCATTTTTGGGTTCAACAAATATGAGCTTTACAACAATTCAATACCTGAATTTCAGCTGCAGAAGTACTTGCTCTGGAGTCAAACACCGGCTACCCATCAAAACTGGAAAGGATCTTTCCATGGAGGCCCTTTTCCATACAATCCATCGGTAGTGGTTAAACACCCAGGCATCACTGATCAGTTTGGGGTCAACACCAGGGGTGTCACACAATGCACTGCCAAAAAACACAAAATACTAAAATGGTACACAAACTACTTCAATGAACAGTGTTGTTGTGCTAGATAACAATGCCTTTTAGTATGTAGATTTCATTGTGCCATTGTAAGACAACAAGCTGATAAGTGTTAAAAGCACAATATGCATCAGTATATAATGTGTTTACCTATAAAATTCTTCTTTGCCCACAGTACCCTTACTGTCTGGAACCAACCAGCCTCCATCTGCCAGCTGGACAGCACCAGACTCAATGAGCTGCTCACGTTTGAAGAAGTCATTACAGTCAAATCGGAATGATTCAGCATTTTCACTGGTTATTTTTGAGACTTTCTGATGAACACCATGCTGATAAAGCTAAGATGGACAGAGGAGAAAAAAAGTACAATTTTGTCAATTTTTCAATGCTTTAAAAACAGTGAAATAATTAGCAAAAAGTATCGAAAAATGTACCTCTTCCTTTGTGTATTGACCAGGACATTTGCATCCAACTGCAAATCTCAGACCAATTCTGGGGACACCAGAAGTCTTAGCAAGGTAAAGGCTGCCAGGTAGAGGACGAATAGTCTGCCTTTTCTTCTTTCTTAGCCTCATGTCTTGCATATCCCTGGCGAGGTCCAAGGTCTCCTGCCCTACCTCAGTGTCTGTTAATATCCCAAGAAAAAAAGTATTGCTGTATTAAAATGTTTCATTTCTATCTGTTTTGGACACTGCCGTACAAATACCCTAAAATTATAAATGCATACCTTTCTCTTTAGATTTCATGATTTTCACTCCGCTTTCCAATGATGTGGTTGATTTAGGCTTAAAACCCTCATGTAGGTTACTGTCACTATGTGAAGTAGAAGCCTTCACCTTTTGGTCCATCTGATTGCTATGATCAGTTTTTTCTTTGTTTTCCTTCTTGAAAGGTGGCATAAAACCACTGGAGACTTTAGAAACATGTTGACAGTTTGATGTACCAGTCATCATAACCTCCTGAAAAGGGGACACAAACACCCATCCTTTGGTGTCTGAGTTGCGTCTGTTTTGAACAGACACAGTAGAACAATGGTTTTCGAGGTAATTTGACTTTTCGCCAACATGATGCCTGCATATATAAAAGAGAATTTGTAAGAATTAAAGATGTCTTGTGATATTACATGCTGAATACTTTGAATACTTAACTCTAAAACCAGTACAACCTACCAATTGGGAGCAGTGACATTCGGCTTAAGAAGGACATTATATTTGAAGACGCGTCTGTCTTTTAGAGTTCCTGTAAAAGGGAATTTATGAAAAAGATATACAAGTTAGATAGTTCTTTATTTTAAAATAAACTAAAGTAATATTTATAATCTTTATAAATATTCGTAAGAACGAACCAGTCGGACAACTTTTTAGTGGTTTGAGGCCAGAGGATTTTGCATCTAAAGTCCGGTCAAATTCAGAGAGAAGTTGTCTTTTCAAAGGAGGCTGCCCTGTGTCTAAAAGTATTTAACATAATGAGAATTTAAAATAACAAATGTAATGATTCATACAGTTAAAAATAAAATAAAACCAAGCCATACCTGCTATACTGCATGAATCAAACTGACGTTTTCTCCTCCTGTTCTGATCAAATGACCCCTGTGTCTGTCGATCATTAATAGATAGACGTTCTTGGTAATCAGTGCCCTCTGACATCACCAACTTGGCCGATTCATTCAGGTCATCATCTGCCAGTAAAGCTTCAGTGCAAGCCATCGCTTCCTGCTCAAAGTACTCCTGCTGGGTTTCTGTGCAACTTTTAAAATCCAAAGAGTTCAAGTCTAGTTGTGCAGGTATATTCTGCGTAACTTTAGATGGCAAAGGAAGTAGAGTGGTTTCGGATTGTCTCTCTTTATGTGGAGTACAATGTTTTGAGAAATCACTCTGTAGCAGTTGGTTATCAGTAGATGTTACTTGGGCATCACAGTCTCTGAATAATTTAGAAGCTTCCTCAAGGGCAACTTTTGATACAGACACACCTTTACCACTAGCAGTGCTGAAACGACAGTTTTTCTTTTTTAGTTGTTCAAACTTTAGGTTTTCATCCACAGTGTCCTCACTTTTTCTGTGAGAACTCTTAGTCTGAGGCAGTACTTTTTCTAATGAAAGTTCCATAGATGTGAGATTTTCCTCTTCACAAACTTTAAAGAGACTTTTGGCCCTGTGGAGTGCAGTAGCAGAGATGGCCACCTTCTTCCCACCTGCTGTGGAGAATCCTATATTGTTTCCTGAAGAATGTTTAGGCTCATGACTAAACGAGGCATCCTCACAACCTGAAAATGCCGCTCTAACATCCCTTAGTGCTTTTTCAGAGACAGTAACATCTTTGCCGCTGGCAGTGCTGAAACCTTTACAGTCTTGGTGCTGAAGACTCCCAGAGGCTAAATTCTCCTCTTCACAATCATTAAAAAGACTCTTGGCCTTCTGAAGTGCAGTAGCAGAGATGGCAACCTTCTTCCCACCTGCTGTAGAGAATCCAACATTGTTTCCTGAAGAATTTTTAGGGTCATGACTGAACGAGGCATCCTCACAACCTGCAAATGCTGCTCTAACCTCCCTCAGTGCTTTTTCGGAGACAGCAACATCTTTGCCACTGGCAGTGCTGAAACCTTTACAGTCTTGGTGCTGTAGACTCCCAGAGGCTAAATTCTCCTCTTCACAATCATTAAAAAGACTCTTGGCCTTCTGAAGTGCAGTAGCAGAGATGGCAACCTTCTTCCCACCTGCTGTAGAGAATCCAACATTGTTTCCTGAAGAAATCTTAAGGTCACGACTGAACGAGGCATCCTCACAACCTGCAAATGCCGCTCTGACGTCCATCAGTGCTTTTTCAGAGACAGTAACATCTTTGCCACTGGCAGTGCTGAAATCTTTACAGGCTTGGTGCTGAAGACTCACAGAAGCTACCTCCTCTTCACAATCATTAAACAGACTTTTGGCCCTCTGAAGAGCAGTGGCAGAAATGTCCACCTTCTTTCCACCTGCTGTAGAGAATCCTACCGTTTTTCCTGGAGAATTCCCAGTTTCAGGCTCATGGCTGAAAGGGACGTCACTGGAACCTGCAAATTTTGGTTTTACCTTAATCAGAGTCTTTTCTGAGACATTGCTGAAACCTTTACAGTTTTGGTGCAGACGATCTTGGGATGATAAACTCTCCTCTTCACAATCTCTGAAGATATCCTTTGCCCTTTGTAGCCCAGTAGCAGAGACAGTCACTTTCATCCCACCTGCTGTACAGAATCCTTTGTGTTCTCTTGAGGAAACATAGTCCGTTTTGATATCGACAACCTGCTTTGTCTTTGGAGAACTATTAGCACATTCGATATCATCAACTGACTCAAAAAATACATCTTTAGCTCTCTGTAGTGCTCCAGCTGAGATGGATACCTTCTTACCACTGGCTGTGCTGAAACCACAGGTGCCGTTAAGAGGAAGCAACTCAGAGAGATGCTTGGGGAATTCATTTTGAATGTCTTTTTTCTCACATACTTTTTCCTGAGGGGTTTGCTGGTCCAAAGAGGACTGCAATGAGAAGTCATTAATTAGATCAGTGTCCCCGAGAACAGTTTTGGCCTTTTCCACATTTGAAAATGAAACATTTTTACAATTTGAAATGAACGCATTTGTTTGTTCAAGTATTTCAACTGGTTTGTCATTCTTTCCCTCCATAATTGCAGATTCCAAGCTGTTAATATTTGAATCACAGTCTTTGAATATGCCCTTTGCCTTCTTAAGGGTGCTGGCTGAAACAGAAACTGCTTTCCCACTGGCGGTCTGAAAACCATAGCCTTGCCCTGACTGAGGCACAAACGTATCTGAGGGAAATATATTTGCACAAACTTCTTTAGCATCATTGCTAGATTTTTGTTCTTGGAAGACATTCTCACTGCTAAAGGAAGGAATATCCGGAACATCAGATATTTGATTTCCCACCACTGAGTCTCGCTGATTCATTTTTATAGAGGGTTCACTCCAAGAAACAGCTTTTGTTTTCTGAAGGCCTTTCTTAGACATAGAGGCATCGTGTTTTCCAGAAGCGTGGAGAGCGAGTACGCAAGTTTGCAACTCCAAGCTGTCTTGCTTGCAAGTTCCAAGTTTTTTTACATGGGTTTTATTTTCTGTGCTTATACTGTCAGAAGTATCAGAATACTCCAATTTTTTTACGCCAAAATCCACTTCTTGACCATCCTCTTCAAAAAAGTTCTTTGCGTTGTTTAAACTCTTTTCAGAGATGCTTATAAGTTTCCCTTCAGCAGTTTTAAATCCAAGGCAGTGGAACTGAGTATTATCAGTAAAATTAGACAGCACATTCTTCAGTCCATCAACTAAAGAACTGTCTTCCGTCACTGACAAAGGCACAGTACCATTCCGTGTTTCCTTTGACATGGTGCATAATTTGGCAGCATCTACAATTTGACTATGATCAGAACTGTTTACCAAAGAAGCGTCTTTCTTGACTGGATGCTTTCCTTTCACAAAATCACAGTTAAAACTATCATCAAAGTCGATGCCGTTGACTATGTCAGGATCCCACTCTCTCTCTGTAGTGGTGTTGTTCTCAGAGCCAAGATTTGTCGGTTTGAGCTGGGTAAATTCATGTTGACTATTTGCTTCCTCCAAAAGATTGCACAATTCTGTAACATCAGCCTTTTGAGAAGCTGTCAAAGTACCATTCTTCTCATCATCACAGCTGGAGTCCACTGCAGTGGGTTTGTGTGTGCTGGTAATGTTGGACACAGCCTGTCTTTCAGCACTTCTTTTAAAATCCAGTTTCTGATTAATGCACTTTGATGAATCTCTCCACAATTTCGCTTTCAAAAGAGTCTCTGTTTGAAGGCTAACATCTAAAGCTGTACTATTCCTCTTTGAACCCGTTTTATAATCAGATTCATTTGACTGTGGCGAAGAGTAACTTGAAATATTCATTTTAAACCTATTTGGACTGTCACTTTTTGGCACATCACTAACACACGTTATTGATGCATGGTTGGGGAAGATGAACTGTCCTACAGAAGATCTGGTTGCATTAGTGCTTCCTGAAACTGATTTGCACAATGTTTCAATTGTTTGATAATGTTTTGGAGTTGTTTGATTTAAAGTGATGCTCAAACCGTCCCCTGCAGCTTCATCCAATGATGCTTTGGCCTTCATTACAGCCTCACTTGGTACGAAAATAGCCTTGTTGTTTGCAGTTTGAAATGTAGGACAAAACTCCTTGAGGTCTGCGCATGAGGCTGTCGTACCATCCAAATCTGAAAAGGTAGTGGGGCAACCACTATCATGACTGATATCAAAAGTTGTGAGCATGACCGTTGACTTGTTTGGGGAGTTGACAGACATTTCTGCTAAATTAGAGATGTCATTGTGATTCCCAACTTTGTTCTCTTCAAACTCAGCTTTAGGTTGCTCTTGGTAATTTTGGTCACTCTTCACAGGCACGTCAAGCAGCAATCCAGGCCTTATTTCTTGTGTGAAATCCTCTGCAAATGCTTTGGAAAGCTGTGTCATATCCAATCCGGGGTCCAAATCATGGGGTTCTGTAGATAACGGTTCGACGGCTTGCAGCGTTGTCTGATTATTGATTGCATATTCACTGGCGAATCTGTATTTGTTAAGGTCACAAGACTCCTTTTCAAATGAGGAATTTTCTGTAAAATGCAAAGGGAAAAAGCTGTTCAAAAATATGTACACACTAGGGCTGTAATTTTACCGTTTTCGAATCCATTCAGCCGATTTTCTGATATTTAGAAGAATATCAGTAACAAGACAGTTTCTGGTTACTAATATTCTTCTAAATATCAGAAAATTGGCAGAATGGATTCAAAAACGGTAAAACCCATCTGTTTAACTCTGGGGGAGATGTAAAATGAGCCTATTTCCGAAAAAGTGGAGTATCCCTTTAAAGCTTTTACTCTTAAATACAAAAGGCACATCCACTATAATAAAAAAATATATTTATTAAACAAACCAGATCAAGACAAGAGCAGAAACGAAATAAAGTGCAAAACTAAAAAATAAAATATAGGCTCAAAACAAATATAAACAGTGGGACAGCGCAATTGCACATTAGGTTTAGGCATTGGGTTGGGCTAATCCAAAATAAGTGACCGACAGAACGTATCGACCAATAAATCCACTAGTCGACTGGGAGATTACAGCCCTAGTATTAACACACAATATTTGTAAGAGAATTTAATACAAGAACAATCTTACCTTTGTCAGTATGGTCCGAACATACTGGAAGAGCTGCTTTGTGCTCAATTACAGTCTTTGACAAATCGGAATTTGGCACTTGATATACAAACTTCCTGGACTTTCTAGTGAGCATGAAAGCAGGTGATTTCATGAAAGCAGATGAAGTCTTATGACGCTCCGTTTCTGCTGGATAAGATTTGAGTCTTACACTCTGTGAAAAAGTTTGGCTACTTTCTCCAGTGCAGTTGAAAACAGTAAAACCATCCGTTTCACAGGATGCTACAGTGTTGTGATTGTTCATCAAAGACGCCCCTGAACAGTCTCCGTCTCCATTCAATAAAATACATTCGGATAAACTTAGTGGGGTCCACTGAATGATGTCTTTATTTTTGTTTGGGCTTTTTGTTTCTACATCAGCCTTTAATATGTCTTCTGGCCCTGTAGTTAAAACAACCGATTTGACATCCTTTGAAGAATCGGATATTCTCCTTCTGATCCTCTCTTTGGTTTTGATTCTCCGCAGAGTTGAAGTACTGTTGCTGAAGAATATTGATAATGCGTCCTCAGCACCATCAAGAACATTCTGCACTGTGGTCCGGACATCCCCATCCTCTATAGCGCTGGGAACCGTCTGCTTCCACAGACCGCTTGTATCCAGAGAGGCATTTGGAGAGCAAACAGGATTTTCTCCCAAGTCATCAACCTGAATAGTCTCACTTTTGGCTATCATTGAAGAGAAAAGTATCAAATAATATTTTCTAATCATGTATGCATTTCACAATAAAAAACAAACAAACAATTTCAAATATACAGTTTCTCACTCACCATCTCGTTTCAATGTTGTATCATTTAATGACGCAGTGCTTGCAGAGCTTTTTGAAAGAGATGGGAACAGTTTCCGCACAAACTAGTGTGAATAAGGGAATGAAAACAAACCACATTAGCCATCAGGTAATTCTATGCAGGTGAAAGCAGAATCTCAGAATATTAGGAACCATAATACAAAAAGCAAAAACAGAGAACTTCAGATTTGCACTTACAATTGCTTCCTTGTCTTTGAGGCCACTTGATGAGGGAGCACGATCCTCTGTTTTTGCTAAAGCAAAAGAAGAATAGCTCATTCGGAGTAGCTCATACCTGATCAGGAGACCAGGGTGTAATTGTAACATGTTTCTTCAAATCACAAACATGACATAGTGACAACAATATATCTAACATACCATACAAGATTTGACCTGGTTCTTAGAAGATGTTACACCAGTTGTCAAACTAAATTTGTGTGACAGAATTGAATCTTTAAAATCATTCAAAGTATCTGGAGCATTGATTACCTTTTCACTCGTCATTTGATTACTATATAAAAGGTTTTAACTTATTTCAGAATATATGAAGAGTTCAGATGCAAAAGCCTCTAAATGCCATTTGAAATTTTCTTCTTTAATGATGATTTTTGTCAAACTTGTATATTTAAGTTCAGTAATTTCACTTAAATAACAATTAATAGGTAATTATCATTGCCATTTAAGTGAAATCACTGAACTTAAATATACAAGCTTGATAAAAATGATCATTCTAGAAGAAAATTTCAAATGGCACTTAGAGGCTTTTGCATCTGAACTCTTCATATGTTGGTGCCAATTTTTTCATTCTAATGTAGGACTCTTGAAATAAATTTAAATTATCCCCGACAGCCTTATAAAGGCAAAAAACAGTAGAACATCTGAGGCAAATACTGAAAACATTTGTAGATACTTTGGTGCGTAAGCTCAAAAGCATATCAAAGTTCAACAAGAAGAGGAGCTCATTTGGACTCTAAATAATGTATTTTTGGTAAGAAATCTTCTACTATTATGTGTGCGATCTCATCTTCTTGTTGAAGACTAATAAAGGTGAAACATATTCAAAAGTAAGTATTAATAAAAAGTTATTAAATTATAGCTATGCATTAACAGTGTGGAGATAATGTGGAGAAATTCAACATTATGATTAATGTTTTTAATTATAAACCATAAATGATTCACTCCTAAAGAATATTCATACATACGCAATATCACAGTAGGAGTCAAAGAGGATGGTGTGTTAAATGAGCTGGTCCAAGATAAATCAGGGTTGATTTGTGCCCCAAGGCTCTCAGATATCAGTTTTGCTGAACGTGCCTGGAAGAGATCAAACTCAACATCATGAATCATGTCTCTAATGCCTTCTGAAGTCAATGTGAAACTGTATTCACAACCAGTTTTCTTTTTTTTTCTGTAATGTGACACATTCCTGAAATGGGTGGTTGAAGAGGAGGGATTGAAAGAAATAAAACAAATACTAATAAAAAAGAGGGCTTGGTAAACCAGCCAAAATGAAAGTTAACATTTTGCATTGTTTTTTTGTTTTTTTTCCCATCAGATAAACATGCCTGCCATGTATGAATCAAGCGGAAAAAAAAGAAGAAAAAAAAGCATGACTAATAACATGTAAGAAAGTAAATATGATATAATCAGTTTTGTGATTTTGTGTTGACTTACCAAAGACCTTTTTGGTGTCTCCAGAAGGCCTGTGATGTCACATATGGAAATAATTAACAAATAAAGTACGATATTTAATATTAGGACAGGTTTATTTTTGTAACTTTTGTAACTTAAAGAAAAGAGAAAAGACCATCTAAAACTTTCTTACCAAAGCAATCTCTAGGTTTTTCACATGATCTATCAGATCTGTGACCATAAAGGAAAGAAGAGAAACTTACATTTAACCTTGTACTTGACTTTCATATTTGACATAAAATTCATATAACTCATGAACATAATTACCTGGCTTTGGCTGAGCCAAACAAACAAGGGCTCGATTCTGACCAGGGAAAAGCTGATATGTCTGCATTAGTCACAGGGTGGAAAGAAAACAATTGTACAGTACATGACTATGTCCTTTATATACACACACATCATACATAACACTGCAATTACGATACCTTCATAAGGTGACTCTTCATTAGGAATGGAATCAGGGGACTGAAACTGTTGTTGCTTAAATATTTTGGGTGTTGAATTCAACTGACTGGCCAGGGCTGATGTCTCTGGTTCTTTGACAGTTTCCTCTTCCCACTCTGCTTTAAAACTGTCAGGACGACCTTCATCTCGGGAAGCTTTTGCAGTCAACTCCTCAAACCAGTCTGGATTAAGGGGTCCAAGCTCTTAATTCACAATAAACCAGAGTCAATAATTAAAAAAATAATATGACTATCGTTATAATAACGCAAGTAATAATCATAATAATATATTATAGATTATTAGTATTCATATTATTGAAGTGTCTACCTTTGTCAATTTGATGATAGAAATTTTCAAACATGCTGCCATGAGTGTGATGAGGTTAAATCTGAACCAAGCACAATAATATTGTCACGGGACCTACAGATAAACAAAGAAACACACTTAAAAAACGTAATTGAAAGCATCAGTGACTCTGACTTTTATATGACGTAGTTCTCAAGTAACAGTTTGTCATTAAAAGTAGCAGCTAGCATTTTTCTATCTCATACATATTACTATGTTTACAACGGTGAACTAAGTTAGCTACAATCAACAGGAAACAGAACTGGAAGTTCTGTAACTTACGATTGTAAACTAACATGTTGTCACAAAAAAAACTTCTCTTGACTTCTCGATATTCCTGGATATGTCTTCTTCATCGCCGATCAAAGATGTTTTATTCCCTGAAATTTTCTGAGGGGATCTGTTTATTCTCCGCGTGCATTACGCTGGTTTAACACATCCCGCCAATAAGCGCAGTGTCGTCAACGGAAGAGCAGTTGCCTCGACCAATCAGAACGCGCGTCTGAGTTCAGGGGCAAGCTTACGTGCTTGTGTATTTTATAAAGAGGGAAGTGAGTCAACTTTTTGTTATTTCAAATAGATATGGAAAATTATATTGAGTTACTATTTGGGTTGAAAAATAGTAAAGCAAAACGTGAAGATTTACGCTATTTGTATGATGATCTCATTCCTGTACATTTCTGTTTATATTATTTTATTTCTTTCTGTTACTTGTTTTATTCCTTATATTTGTTGTAATCAATATTTGTTAAATATTTTTCATACTATGTTGGACATGACTATTGTCATGTTCATTGTAATGTGACTGGCATTTAATTATAAAATGTAATTAAAACACGGAAATGAGTGTTCATATTTTTGGAGAGTGTTTGCTTAAAATATATTGGTAGTTTATAATCAGCAAAACCATTCACACTAAGTACAGTATACCAGTATACAGTATACGTACAGTATACCTCTTTACAATGTTAAATTTTACAAATTAATATTTTATCATCACCTGTTATTTTACTTGTTACTTCTTAATACTTACAGCTTATTCAAAAAAAAAAAAAAAACTTTATTATAACCAAAACATAAAAAGTAATTTACCAGAGTTTGCCGAGTTTAATGCCAGTTTAATTATATGTAAGATTACAATGGATCAAACACATTTAAACAATGTTAATTGTGTCTGTAATGCAGTCTTGGGTCACCAAAATTGATATAGTCGTGCAACTTGCTATGTCACTGTCAAAAAACACAATAGCTTGCTGTTCCACAACTGGCAAATAATAATAAAAAAAAAAAATTTGATCTTGAGTGTGTTCATTATTTCCATTCTTGTAACACCAGAGGGCGCACAACCCTAGAAAATAAATGAATAATAATGTTCAGAATCAGTTCTGATCTGGCCATTTAAGATTCATTTATGTAGAAAATATCTTACACATTTTGTAATGTATTCCAGAATTTAAAACAAACAAACAAACATGAACATGATCATAAAAGCATGGACACTCTCATTAAGTTTTTGTGACGTATTCAAATAATTCCAAACTAAATTTAAGAACTGTGACTATGTTCTTTATTAAATTTAGATTAGTATCATTTGAATGTATTCAATAAGTATTTAAATAAATAAAAACACTCCATGACTGAGCAGATATTAATTAATATTATTTATTGTTCTATTTATTACATGCACACTTTCATACAGCAGACAGCAAAATAAAATCATAAAAATAAAATCTTACAAGTATGGGCTACACTCCCACTACTATGTACAAATGTATCTTTCATTTAAAATATTTTTTATTCCATAAATATCTCTATTTCGCCTTGTGGTACATACCTTTGCATGCTTGGCCATTTCAATAGACATAATTCTATCCTATAAAACTATACCATTTTATGATAATCAAAGCATGATGATCTTTCTTTTGAGAATATAAATAAACCTTCTAGGAGCAACTAAACAGTAGAAAGACATTAGTAAAATCAAACACCCCCAGAAATACAGTAAGTGCTGGATGACCCCTTTTTGCATCCAATTCTCTCTGACAGTAGCATTGTGTTGTGTTCGAGACATTCTGTCTGTTTGGGTAAAAGCCGATGCAGAGTCAAAAGTCTGAACTTTTGAATCAATTTAGAAAGCCGCATTAACAACGAAAAAAAAAAAAAAAAAAAAAAAAAAAAAAAAAAAAAAAAAAAACTAAACCAAGAACAGAACATTACTGTATCAAGTAGCCGAGAGCACAAAACATTCTCTCTAAGATGAAAAGTTTCACTTGGTGTGAGGCATTGCACATTTTCCCGTAGCATGTATAATGGTAGATGTGGGCAGGAGGAGCCATTCGTGGAGCTTTGGTATACATTTGATGCCTGCAGTAGTAGAGGCCCCGTTTCAGAGGCAGGGGGCGGCCCCCATAGATACGTACTAGTGCAAAAAAGCCAAGGCGTCGACTTTTTTACTGTCCCCTGTTGCATTTTTCCAAAGCTATTTAAGCTATACATCCTGTCAGCTCTTAAGCAGGACAGTAATGAGTGTTCTAGGGGAGAACAATGAAGGCAGCAGCATCTCCAAACAGGAGTGGTGGAGAGAAAGCCAATGCCGGCATGATCCCTTAAGGTGCGCCTCAAAGGCTGATGCCGGTCACGCTGGAGTCAGGAAGGAAGGCAGTGATGGCCCGATAGCCCTGCGCCCTTCGAATCATGTCTCGGATCTCGCAGTTAAGCTCAGTGAGTCGGTTGCAGATCTCAGACAGGTCTTGTTTGGAGCCGACCAGGGCAAAGGTTCCTGTCTGACCCAGAGTTTGGTGCCGGAAATAGATGTTGAGCAGAGTCTGGATCTCATTCTCGGAGCTGCTGCCGAAGATGTCACTTGGCCACATTTTCCTGAAAGATGTCATCAGAAAGGTTATTATTTATTTGGAATAATTAAAGAGCAAAGTACTGCATATAACTCCAAATTAGAGCCCGACCGATCAAGGATTTTGAAGGCCGATACCGATACAAATATTTTTGGGTTTTAAAATCCGATATGTCGGCCGATATTTTTTTTTTTTATCAAATATTGTTGGATTTCACACACGTGTAAAAGAGAAGCTAACTTTTCTGCACTAGATAAGTTTGATACTTTTTCTCTATGTCTAAATGTTCACTCCTCGCAAGTATAACTTACATTTTACAATGCAGGGACTGTAACTAGAGATATGCTAGCTATAAATACAGTAATCATTACTTTATTTAGGCAGAAAAAGTTCATTGTGGTTTCCAAACTCATTAATGTTAACGTTAGCGGTCTTCCACTGATGATATTGGCATTAGCTTGCTTTGTGGTTAGCTAGTCTATGATGAGCCATAATTTAGCAATAGAAAACATCATACTGCAAGTTGTAAAACATACATTTTCAATATAACAGGCCAAGCAGAGATGATTGAAGCATGTTTCATCCGTTTTTTTTTTTTTCGTTTTTTTTTCAAATAAATATTCAATTATCGGCCATTATAACTGCCGATACCGATATTATGGAAAATGCCTAATATCGGCCGGCCGATATATCGGTCTGGCTCTACTCCAAATGTATGTATTTTCACTTTATCTCACTTTTAATGTAATAGTTTAGCCTGGGAAAACCCAGACAACTTCCGGCAAATTTAGATTTGCTCTGAAAGTTAGTCTGGCAAAGAGCTCATTCAAGCCCACTTCCAATCCGTCGAAATCACGGCACCAATCAGAAACATTGGGGCGGACTTTACACGATGATGACAGCGCTGGGATTTTGAAGCAGATTTTGTAGCCTACATTACAAAGATGGATGCCGCCGTCGAACATCATTCGTTTGAATCAGCAATCGCGCATTTTGAATGTTTCCTTTTTGTTAAAAACCAAGCAAAGAACAACACTCAGAGATGTTTCTCCGCCACTCTGCATACGTCATATCTTTCATTGCTCTGATTGGTTTTAGGTCTATCCACGACGTCCGTTAGTGACGCCCCTCTGGAAATGATTTGTCTATGACGCTTTGCCAGAACATAACTCAGTTACAACTGAAAACTGGTCTGGTTTTAACCAGGCTAGCAATAGTTCACCCAAAAATGAAAATTCTGTCACCATCTACTCACCCTCATGTTGTTCAAAACCTGTATGCATTTCCTTCTTCTGGGAATGATAAAATAAGATTTTTTGAGGAATGTTGGTAACCATACCATTTCAGGTTCACAGTCTTCACACAGACTTCCATTGTATTTTTTGAGCATTCATTAATGATGGACCAAAACTGTTTGGTTACTAGCATTCTTCAAAATATGTTGTGTGTGTGTGTGGTCTGCAGAAAGATATGCAAACAGATTTGGAATGACATGAGGATGATGGAATTTTATTTAAATTTAGTTTTTTGTGATTTTTCATTATAGAACAATAAGTTGTAGTCATTTCTCCCGGTGGGAAGTTCACCTGCATTCCTGTATGTAACGGATGGCTCGAGAGAACTGGTTGTTTTTCAGGCTCTCTAGAATGGCCTGTACAGCAGCCTCAGAGGAGCTGTAGGGGGATTCAGCGGTGGGATCTTTCTGTTCGGCTGCGCTCTCACTGGCCACTGAGGCTGCTGCTGCCCGCAGGTTACTCCTCAACTCACTCAACTCTCTGGACATATTCTGCAGCTAGAATGGACAGCAAATACACATAAATGACAATCAAAATGACTCTTTTGTGAGAAATAAAACTATTTTTGAACCCTTCCAAGAAGATACAGTGGCGGTACCATAGAGTGATGATATCAGAGTACAGAATGATTACTATATTCATGTATGATGGCATTTATATAATATGCAAACACAGTTCAAAATATAATGGCATTAACATTAACAACAATGCTAATTGGTACCTAATTAGTAACTAGTAAAAACATTACAAACATACACAATTGCTATTTTAAGGAGCCCCGCACATGATATGCAAAAATAAATAAATAATCAATTATTATCCCTATGTTTGTTTGTTTGTATGTTCATTTCTTTGTTTTTCTTCTTTTGCTTTTTTTCTCTCTTACTGTTATGTTTGTTTACTTGTACTCATTTTTTATATTGCTTCCTTAATAAACAAATAAATAAATAAAAAATAAATAAATAAATAATCATGATAATACTTTTTACAAAAATTCAGATATTTAGGCCAGGAGTTTTTTCCCACCAATTATTATTTATTCCCTGCATTTTATTGACTTGTTTCCTCATTTTAATTATCTCGTGGTGACATTATACTAATTTGTTTAGTAATTTAGTTATATTTGTTTAGTAATTTAGTTAAATCTTGGCCATATTGTACTTATTTATTCCCTCCTTTTACTTAAGGGCCAGATTTACTAACAGCTTGCGCCTGTGCAAACCCTCTTTTGGCGTTTTAAAAAATACTGTCAGGATTTACTAAAAACATGCAATGAAAAATT